TTCTTCTCTTTACTCGAACACTATTTTTTAAAAACTCTTCAAAAATTTCATATATGTATATAACGTTTTGACCATTTTCACTACATCCCCTCCTCTCATTCTCTTCACAGTCCTGCTGAACCCTTACTCTTCCCAAAAAGTCCCCTCCACTTTCCTGTGTTTTGTTTTGGCTGTTATTTGTGATCCACTGAGTTTAATTAGTATAAATATGGGTGGGAGATTGTTTATTAGAATACAGGCAATGTATTAGTTGTTACAGCACTGAGTAAAGTGACTTCCCCTTCCCTTAGCAACCATTACTTGTCAACAGCCCCTGATACTGTGAGATGGGTGAGGCCTCATGACCCCTCCTCTGAGCATGGTGGATTGTGGACAGGCTCCTTTTGGTGCAGGTCTTTGTGGGTAACCGCAGCTGTTGTAAACGCATGGGCACCATGGCCGTGTCACGTCCAGCAGAATGTGTTTCACAGCACTCCTCATTATCTGGCTCTACCGTTCTCTCTACTGTCTTTTGGGATCCAGAAGCTATAATGTTTTTTCTACTTTGGAAGGCTCTGCATTTGGCTCCAACTGTTAAGAAAACCCAAATCTACACTGCGGTCATCTCTCTTAGTCTCATCTTACAACATCTTTCATAAGTGATGCTCCCAAAGGAACATTAGAACTCAGAGTTTTATGATGCTGATATATAGACAGATAAACTGCCCGATGACAGCCAGATTGTCCTGGGGTCCACTTTTTAGACACATTGCTGGTCCCACTCTTAGCCCTCTCACAGTGGGAGAGGCAATATCTACTCTGCTTCTCTCTGTCTGCCTATTATTTCTATTCAAAGATGTAATAGTCTGAAGAGGAGGCAAGCAGAGCTGGAAATGGTCATAAAGATTATCCAGCAAATCCTATTTCTCTTATTCTCCATGAATTGTAAATGACAGCAATAGAATCAATATTAATAACAATACCAGTTGCCACTTTTGAAGGCTGGCAATATGCCAGGTGGTATTCTAAGAGGGAGTGCTACATATCTCAATTTTACTAAGAAAGAAATAGAAGAGAGAGGTGACTTTGCAGCTATTTGTCAAGCTATTCTTTAAGAATAGGGAATGTTGGCCCAAGTCAACTAAAAAGAATAGGGGTAAAAGCCAGGAAGAGATTTGTAAGTTCAATCAGCATTAATTATAACCATTCCCAGGATAAAGCCACTTGTGAAGCCTGAAGTGCTACCCCTCAGTGTTTCCAGAACAAAGGGTCACGACCAGATGCATACTTCACTTGTATGTGTGTACCTTTTTGGCCAGAATTCCTCTTGGGAGTTTATTTTGTGTATTAAGTTTAGAGGGAAACAATGGAAAACTGATGTCTCAATTACAAGGTGAAGTCTGAATTCAGGACAGCATAAATCTGCAACTGGATCTAATCAAATGAGCTGATGGAAAAGCATCCTCTTTTCAAACTGTACCACATACAATACACTGAAATTATGGTCAACCATTCTCATTTGCTTTATTTTTTCAGAAGACAGAGTTTTACTATTGAGGTTCTTAAACTTAAAGCCTAGGGACACTGGGTGGTACACATTTACATAAATAGCAATGAAGAAGCAGGCATAGTGGCAATGAGCTAAGTCTCTAACCACAGCCATACCAATCAGCCACAACTCTACCAGCTGACCGCACAGTAGAAAAAAGATAGCTAGTAGCAGAGGGTAACTCTCATACTATTCTTAGACAGGTGCTTGGGAGAAAACAATATTTGTGTCCAAGTTTTGAACATGAAAACCCAGGCAGTCCTATATCTCCAAATACAGATGATTTCAAGATGTGAAGACAAAGAGACAGCTGAGAAAACCAGGGCTTCTGAACTTTATGGGTCATGCTTCATCTTTACATGATTTTCACACAGCAGTTTGTGACTTCCTGAATAGTGGAGGTGTGGCAACTGAGATCTCATGCTAGGAAAATTTAAAAGCCATGAGTAATCCTTATACTGGAGATGTTCTGCATGTTGAGTTCATGTATGACGACCTACTAGAATCAATTCTACTCCTAGAGCCCTGATCTTGCTTGTTATGGCAAAGGGTAACTTATGATTTCCCCAAGCTCCTAAGGTCTCGCATCAGAGGTGACAGAGAGGGACACAACATAGCCTGGTCTCATACCATGATTATACCTCACAGGATAAACCCCTTTGGGGCACAAATAGCCATCTTAAGATGAGTTGCAGAAACTAGATATTGGATTGGAATCATTCCGGGTAGAGCCAGGGGTTTAGAATGAGAGATAATACATTAGCTACCCAGAACAGAGGTCATGCCTATGGGGTACATACTTGGGGCACAGTATAAGAAAAGTGCTGCAAGGGGAAGAACATTGCACATGCTCTCTCTAGGGGGTTGTCAGGAAGCTTATTCCTTATCATTGGTGTCAATCACTATTTCCTGAATATGGATATCACTCTTTAGTGTGTGTGTGTGTGTGTAAATGGTCAAGATTAAGGCCACTCTCCTAAGTTCTGTTCCCTCACAATGCTATGGGCCACCAGTCTTCTGGGATGGGCTGTAATCTCCCTAACTGATCATTTACAGCTTTGATACCTGAAAGATGCCTACTCCACCATTCTCCACCTGCATTCTGATGAGAGGTCACCCCCTACCATTTGCCTGAACCCCAATCCTGCCTTCACCTTCTCTGCCTTGTTACAACCCAAGTTTTCAGTATGGTATTCTGTGGATGTGAACACAAAACTCATCACTCTTTTTAAGGAGTTGATTTTATAAGTGTTTTGGCTGCCTGAGCATGCTTGGTGCCTGCAGAGGTGAGAAGAGGGTGCTGGATCCCTTACACCATAGTTACAGATAGTTGCTAGCCACCATGTGAGTTCTGGGAAGTGAAATTGTGTTCTCTGCAATATCAACAAGTGATCTTAACCACTGAGTGAACCCTCCAGCCCCAAAGTCACTACTTTCATCGAGAGACTCACTTTCTCCCCAGGCACAGGTTCATGCAACTGAACCCCGGCAGGAAGGAGACAGTGAGCAGGGTTCTCAAACAGTGCTTGAGGGAACATTCATCCTAAGATCACACGGAGGCCTCTTTTAAGGAATGTTTAACTGGTGTCCTTGTCTGCAAAGTCCTCAAGATCTTCTCATAGCCCGCTGAGGCTAAAGGGAGATTATCATGGCTTACCAAATATATTTGTGCACAGACTTATTTGAAGTGCTATAGTACAGGAACTATCTGAATAGTTGTATCTATATTCGAAAGTTTATAGATGGGCATTGAGGGTAAAAATGTGTCTCTGGGAGTAATAGAATAGTGAAGGTACCCCAATATCATTAGTTAAGGGCATACCTGAATACTGGCCACCATGACCTTCAAATCTGTTTAGTATGGCCATGGGTGCTTAGGTTTTTGTTAACAGCATTTTAAATTTGTGAGATGTGACATACAAATCTAGATTTCTGGCACACTTCAGACACTGTCCATATAAGGTCTGTCACCTATTTGCCATGTGAGAATTAGATGTTCAGAAAAGGGCTGCCAATTTCCGGTGAAGTCTGCAAGCTCTCCACCCTCACTTTCTGCTCTAATGACCCTTGGCCTCACCCTTGCCAGACCTAGCACCTGTGTTTCAATCCCTTCTTACACTACAGACATTACCTACAATCAATCTGGCAATGTTCTGCACTGCATATTTGGTAATACATGAAATAACGTGGTCTGAGAATGTGTGACGTTTTCATTTGAGATAATTTCTGAAAAAAATCTGTTCCAACATATAGTTTTCATTTCACAGAAGGAGAGACCTGGGGTTATCTCTTGAGGGGATAACTTAGTGTCTCAGCCATGCCTAGAGATCAGAGATATTTTTCTTCCTTACTCAGCTGACAAGGTGAACAAGGTTGGATAAAGGAAGGTGATAGGGACCAGTATTGTGCAGAGAGGTTCACACAGAGCAATACAGCTACTGAAACTTGTCATCAATCCAGAGAAGAAGTAGATCCCAGTTAAAAAAAAAAAAAAACTCTTTTCACACCATGCCTAAAAATGAGCCACAGGTAGAGAAGCACCCTGATGTGAGAAAGCAATAGCATCTCAGCCAATTTAGTCCTTAAGGTAATAAGAATGATTTCTTAAATATGCAGGAACTGTGTATATTTGGAAGGCACAAATACATTCAACCATAAGACCTAAGGAGATTACTGTACAATTTAATATAACAAAGTTAAATTCAAGCTGCAGATTTAGAGACTCCTCATGGTCAGATAGCCACTGAAGAAATTACTAATTTAGAAATGGCAAAATAGACATTTAAAGGATAAAGTATACAGAAATAATTCATAAAGATGAAATTGGTATTAAACATATAATATGGTTATCTTTACTTATCCAGAGACTGTAAATTGAATACACTTGAGATACCATCCAATACCCACGGGATCAGCAAAGCTTAGAATGTCTACTGACCACAAACACTTGTGTAGAAGTAGGATGACAGGGTGCCACAGACACAGAATCTATTTGTTGATATTCCATGTAGTTGATGAATTTTTGTGGTAGTCTTGGAAATTTTCCCCCTTGGAAACTCTATATTAGACAGAAACATACATGTAATTTGCTTATCATTTCCAGTCCTGAAAACTTGGAACAACCTGGTTTAATATTAATGTGCAAAAAAGATACACGTATGGACAATATATCAAGGATGACTTTTTAAATTGAATAGAAAGTATACCACAATTATAGTGCTTTTGGATCCTGTGTCAAGGTTCACTAAGCATTCTAATGCATTGCTTGCAAGCATCTTCATGTCTACACACATCATGAAGACAGGACTGGAGTTAAAAAGCTGCAAATTAGGGTGGGGACAAATCTGTGGAAGGTCCCTGGCACTCAGATATCAGTGATCATTATTTGGTGGTCACCCGACAAACAATTCTGTCATTGAAAACAAGGAGGCGAGTTAGGTGATTACCGCCAGCTGTTCGTTCCGTGACTCACCTGAGAATTAAATTCCCAGAGCTATTTTTCCCCCATGACGGGCTCTTTTGGGGACCCAGTTCTGGAGTTCCAGCCAGGTCCTGGTCACTGCAGTCCTCTTGGTCAGTGGACCATTTATCCTTGGATCTCATGCTGTCTTGTTGTGAGTCCAGAGAGATGACATCTGAGGGAGAGCTCATCACCCCTGAGTCCTCGGTTGTATCCTCTGATGCAAAACAGCTGCCTACAGATGCTGTCTCCTCAGCCTCCAGTGGAACCTGTGAGACTCCACCCATGCTGTAGTGGCTGCCAGGCCCCAGAGGCAGACTCACTGGAGAGGACATACAAAGACAGGTCAACAAAAGCCACATGGGGGTGTCATGCTGCCTAACTAGGGCAACATCCCTTTGGCTCTGAAATTCATGATTCAGGAATTTACAAATAATGAAGACCCTCTGGCAAACCAATAGCATTCTCTGGAAACATTTGAACTTTCAAGGAGCCTTATGTGTATACATAATTGAATGCAAACTTTCCCTTAAAAAAACTGGGCACTTGAGTGGTTAGCCTTCTGTTTATCTATCTTGGTGGTGATGGGGATTTAACTTCAGCATTGCACAAGTTAGGCAAGTGCCCCACTGAGGTGCTACATTTTCAAACCCTTAATTAGCCCTTTAAACATGCATCCTCTAGGCAATTATAGTGATTAACTATTCAAACTAGTGATAATGAAGGCAATTGTTTGCATTCTGACTCCTGAATTAAAATGACTTTATATCTATCTATCTATCTATCTATCTATCTATCTATCTATCTATCTACATACATACATACACACATATGTATATTACAATTAATGAAAAAAATGGTCCCATGAACTTGAAAAAGAACAAGGAGGGGGTATATAAAAGGGTTTGGAGGGAGGAAAGGAAAGGGAGAAATGGATTATAATTTCAAAAATATAAAAACAACTTTTAAAAACAAACAAGCAAATGAAAACATTAAGAATAAACAGAAACAGACCATCCTGGAATGGGAACTTCTGAGCATCATCCTCATAGAATGATGCTGGAAGTGTGGTCTACATATTAATGACATTCTTCATCAACTATTGGAGCTGTCCTAATTTTTATACTGAAACATTGTAATTTGTTTTGTAAGGAAGAGATGAGCTCTATATTTGAAACAATGTAATTTTTTTTATGTAAGAGATGAGTTTGGAAGGGAAGGTAAAATTAAAAAGTATCAGAACGCAAGTGCCAGCGGTTGATGCCCACAGGGGGTTAGTGTGCAGAACTGTGTGTGATTTTCTACTAAATTTAGAGTTGTCTCCAGTGAGACCTTATAAGGAATACTATAGTCATCCTGTTCACTGAAGACATGTTCAGCATCAATGGTCAGAGGCCACCTTTTCTCTTCCCCAGTTTCAGGAAGCTTTATGTGCAAAGCCAGAGTTTGCAGGATAGGAGTCCGCTGCTCTAGACTAGTTGTATGCTTAAGTTGCAGTTGAGTCAGTAGATATAGATTCTAGATCTTAAGGTTTGAGGCTAGAACCATGTACTGTATTTCAAAGTCTCTCTTCTCCACATAAGTAGCCCCAGGATTTGTGATGTGTACAAGTGCACACTCCAATGATATTACTGTGGACTCATATGAACCACACTGCATGTCGACTCTAGACATTACATCTCACCAGCAACTAACAGCATGTAATTAATACACTAGGAGGAGATCCCTTCATGTGTTGTTTTATGTGAGATCTTGAAGAATAAAAAAACATTCCAATTGAACAGTTATAAGAATACAAAATTCACAAAAAGAGCTCAAAGCAAACAGAGAACTACAGAGAGGGGGTTGGGACAGGCACAAATGCAAAAGGCAATGCACGGAATTTCAGCGAACTGCTGGAGTTGTTTCTCCGAGTTTCTTTCAGACTATCCTGTAGCTCAACATCCTCCTGCCTCTGCCTCTTCAACGTTGGGATTACAGGCGTGCACCACTATGCCCAGCTGCAAAACTTGACAGGAAAGACACTACCTGTATGTGATGGCTAATGTCAAGTTGATCAGGGCTCATATCACCTAGGAGACAAACCTTAGGACATGTCTGTGAAGGAATTCCTAGATTGGAAAAATTGGAATAATTGAGGTGGGAAGACCCACCATAAGTGTGGGGAACACCATTCTGTGGGCCTGGATTGGCTAATAAAATAGTAAGCTGGACACCGACACTCATTTCTATTTCCTGAGTTCTGATCAGGTAACCCATGCTACATTGTCATGCCTTCCCCACCACAATGGCTGTAGCCTAGAACTGTAAGCCAAAACAAACTCTTCCTCCCTTCTGTTTTTCAAGAATTTCACCACAGGCATGAGAAAAGTAATTAATGCACACGGACACACATAGCCTGACAAGCTTTGAGATGCTTCTCTAGTCTCACATACAGCCTTTGAATCAGCACCTATGGTACTCATTCCAGACATCAATCCCCATTCGGAGCTCTGATACCTTGAAGCCACATTATCAGACTCCAGGGTGGCAGCCAGCAATCTGCTGGCTGCCATTCATTTCTTTCATCCTTTGACTTTCTTGTTGCTCTACTTGGCTCTACACATCAGACTCAGGTCCGTATGCTTGTATAACAAAATTTCACTGACTATTACCTGAACTATTTCTTCAGTCCCCATTGAGATTTTTTTTTTATCATTTATTACAATTTATTCGGTTTGTATCCCAGGTGTGCCCCCTTCCCTTGTCTCCTCCCACTCCTACACTCCCTCCCTCTTCTTCCCCTATGCCCCTCCCCTAGTCCACTGAAAGGTGAAGTTTTCCTCCCCTTCCATCTGATCTTAGCCTATCAGGTCTCATCAGGACTGATTGTGGTGGCCTGGCAAGGCTGCACGCCCCCCCCTTCCCCCCCAGGGGGAGGTGATGATCAGCAGTGACTCAGTTCATGCCAGAGAAAGCCCCTGTTCTCCTTATTATGGAACCCACTTGGAGACTGAGTCTATGAGCATCATCTGAGCTGGGATTTTAGGTCCTCTCCATGCATTCTCACATTATGATTTTTAAGTTGTTTTACTACCTGACAACTTCATACATGTATTTTGATCATTTGAACTTTCCACTACCCTCTTTCATACCCCTCCCACTTTCAGTCTCCTCCCACTCCTGGTGGACTCCTTCTTCCCAACCTCCACATTCCTCCTGCTTGCTTGTGGCCAACTGAATGCAACTGAAATTATTTTCGTGGGTGTGGATGGGGCTAGTTTTTGGAGCATGTCTTGCCTTGACTTTTGCCACCATCACTAAACAAACAGGTTGTTGTGGTTTGAATGAGAATGGTCCCCATAGGCTCATTTATTTGAATCTTTCAGTCCCAGTTGGTGGAGTTGGAAAGGCTCAAGAGGCGTAGTCTCCTTGGAGGAGGTGTGACACTGGGGTAGACTTTGAGGTTTGAAGAGCCCACAGTAGACCCAGTCTCCCTCTGCCTGCAGCCTATGCGTCAGATAAAAGCTCTCAACTATTGTTCTAGTGTCATGTCTGCTTGCCTGATACTATGCTCCCCACCATGATGCAAATGAACCAACCCTCTGAAATGATAAGCAACCCTTCAATAAAATACTTTCTTTTATGAGCTTCCTTGGTAATGGTGTCTCTTCACAGTAATAGAACAGCAACTAAATCACAGGTCAATTAAATTCAATAATTACTTTTCTATGCTGAATACAAACAGCTTGTAACCATGAAGAACAAAGCCTAAAGTCTTGAATTAAAACTAACAGATTTGTTTCTTGGCTCCTCACAGTGCTGCAAGGTGGCTATGTCATTATCAGATCTCTACTGCCAGGTGGCTCCTGGGGTGGAACAGGCTTTATTACTGGGACCTGGGACCATGGTTTTCTTTTTCTTTTTTTTTTTTTTTGTTACTTCTTATTTTGAAATTTTGTTGTATTTCTAACATCTGTCCCACCATTTACTTGTGAATGATAAGAAATAGATATATTTTTTCTTATTAGTTACATTTTGTTAACTCTGTATCCCAGCTGTATCCTGCTCCCTTATTCCCTCCCAACCCCACCCTCCCTCCCTCATCTCCTCCCTGCCCCTTTCCAACTCCACTGATTGGGGAGGACCTCCTCCCCTTTCATATGACTCTGTTTTGTCAGGTATCTTTAGGACTGGCTGCAAAGTCCTCCTCTGTGGCCTAACAGTACTGCTCCTCCCTTGGGGGGTGGGGAGGTCAAAGAGCCTGCCATTGAGTTCCTGTCAGAAATAGTCCCTGTTCCCCTTACAATGGGAAACCAATTGGTTACTGAGCTATCACGGGCCACATCCGAGCAGAGGTTCTAGGTTATATCCATACATGGTCCTTGGTTGAGTGTCAGTCTCAGAAAAGACCCTGTGCCCAGATATATTTGGTCCTTGTGGAGCTCCTGTCCTTTCCCCATCATACTAACTCCCCTTCTTTCATATGATTTCCTGTACTCTGCCGAAGGTTTGGTTATGAGTCTTGGTATCTACTTTGAAACACTGCTAGGTAGTGTTTTTCAGATGCCTTCTGCGGGGATCATGGTTTTCAAGCCAACTTAGTTTATGAGGAGACAGGCAAACATCTACAGTCATACCGTGGTGAATGACAACTGTCATGAACTTCTACAGGCGAAGTGAGGGAGGCCGGACTGAAAAGGGCTTTGCATGCAGGAGGTGACACATAAATATTCAGTGTTGTGTGTCCCCTCTTTCATCTCTGCAGTAGTTACTACTGCTGCTCTGACAATCACTTCTCAGTTGGCCCTATAGGAAGTGTGATTGCCTAGGACAAAGAGGTTTCTCTGGCTCCTGGATCCCCAGGAGAGTCAGAGGCATGTGGACATATCTCTATTCAAGACTTGCATGTTAAGCCCTTTAAGAACATATCATATTGAGTGCTAAGGCCAAAGTTCTTTTTTTCGCCCAGACAGTCTCTCCATTTTCCATGTGTGATGCTCTTACATGCTGTAGCTAGGACACAGTCATATCATACCATCTATGCCTGGAGGGAATGTAGACAGAGCCAACCAGGTGCAGATGAGAAAAACCTCTTAGGGCTTTATCTGAGTTTCCTAAGAGAAGTCACATGGGAATTGAAATAGTAACTGTACAAGTGCTGAAAGGAGCTGTGAGTCATGGATGCCAGGCCTGGGCAGGTCAGTGATAACTAATCTTGTTCAGACTGCAGGGTAGGCAGAGCTATAGCTAAGGAAGGACCACATCTGCAGAGGCTATATGAACAGTTTTGTGGATCTCCTCTTAAGAAGAAAAGAAGTACAGATTTTTAGAGAGGTAAAA